CATTGTCGTTCGGCCACTTTGGTGACTAACAAATCACTAATGATTGAATTCTTGAAATTGTAAAACACTATAATTGTTTCATTCATAAACATTTACCAAAATTGCATGCTGAGGGTAAAACCGCAAATTAACGCATAAGGGCAAAACTGTAAAATTAGGATCGATAGGGGACAGAATCGTAAATTTAGCATCCAGTGGCACAATGGTAAATAATTCGGTCAATGGCAAAACAGTAAATTAACCGGTCAAGGGCAGAACCGTAAATAAACGCATAAAGGGCAGAAACGTAATTAGCAGGAGAAGGGTAGAACTGTAAATAAACGGAGGAGAGGGCACCGCACGCGCCTCAATTGCCTCGTGGGCGCATGGAGCCCATGCGCATATGCATGCGCGGGCGCGTGTGACGCACGCACCCGTGCCTTCACCTTGGCATCACGCGCACATGCTAGGCACGTGGATCCATGCGCCTACAACCGCAGCGCGCGCGTGGTTCCACGCGCCTTCTTGATCACGCCCATTTGCCAAATTTTTTTTTTTGTTCATTCCGCCGCGCCTTCCATCATCGGGATCTCCTCCAATAACCCCATCTCCGACCAAATTAATGAGTGGGTTTTGGAGACCACGTCGGCGCCACCATACAAATTCAAGATTTAACGAAATGAATCGGAACAAGAAATCATTTCAACAACTTTAGCAAATAACAAAAAAAGACCAACATCGTTTGGCGAATCCAAACTTAGAAACCATAATCGGAAAATCATGAGGTCCTAAACCTAATGCTCTGATACCAACTGTAAGGTTTTAACGTAATCCTTTTATGCGGAAAATTTAAACATTTAGAATCTTAGATCTTCATGATTTTCACAATAAGAGGGACGAAGACATACATTTATCCATAGCGTTTCACTTGAAGATAATTGCTGCAGAAAAACCAAAAAAACGAAGAAATCTGATTTCTCTCCCTTGACCGACTTTTCTCTTAACGTATCTTATCGACGGAGGATAAAAATACAAAGTTCTTTTCGTGCGTTATCGTGGGTGGAGAGAGGACCAGACTCTATTTATATATACCCCTTCAAGTGGTGCCTTCCATCAAAGCATATCTCACTTTTTAAGAGTCGTACCTCTTTGGTAGAATTTTAACTTCTCAATAGAATTACACCTTTTCATCCATTTTCACAGCCAATAAGTTTTCGCACTTAAATATTTATTAAACTATTAATTCATAATATCATGTGGGCACATTATTCTTACATATTCTTCATAAGTAGCTTCTGTGGGTAGGTCAAGCGGGCTCAGCTGATGCTCTCTTCTTCTTCTTCTGCAGCCATCCTTGCGTGAGAGAAAGAGTGTGCATGGTGAAGAGCTTGGAGCACGAGCGGTGAGATGTTTCTTGAGTTCTTGCTGGCGTGTCTTGGCTCCCGTCGACGCTTCCCTCTTTTTGAGTTCGGCGAAGGGAAAGAGACAACCCCTCGCCCTTTATTCTGCGAAATGACAATAAAACGGGAATAAATAATAATTTCATGAATACAAACTAAACTCAAAATAAATACTGAACAATATATTTTATTTGATAACAGGATAATTAATAAGAATAATGAATTTTAATTATATAATGATTAAATCCTACTATCATATAATATTGCATCGATTTCTATTCATGTTACGGTAAAGATTATAAAGCATAGACAAATTAACGACTATGGAACAAGGATTCGTAATTGCAGGTCGTAATTTTTTTTCGAATTATAAATTTGAGGTGTCAGTGACAATTTACCTGCATCTAATTATAATGCTTAATAGTAATTATTAGAATTATATTACAATTTCTAGTGATTGTAAGCGATTTTTTTTATATAATCTAATAGATATATCAGTTTATCGTGATTTCATAACCAGTAATTCTTATTCAAATAATTATATATTGGTGTAAACATAACAAATCATAGACTACTAACAATTTTTACAATGAATTATAATTATCAATTATGATAAAATCGTTTTAATTAATTATTATAATTAATATCTTGATTATTTAAATTTGCAAATTGAGTCATCTTATAATTTAAGCTTCATTTAATTCAATAGTTTAATATTTAAGAACTTAATTCTACTATGATTGATTATATACTGAGCATCGCACTTCATTTAATATAAATCACATGTCGGTGAAGCGCAAAAAAATCTCTTAATATTTCTACTTACGATTTTGATTTAAAATCTGAAGCCAAAAAAATATGAAAAAAAATAATATATGATTCGAAATTACATTATTTAAATATTTCTAAATGTTTCGAGTGTTTCATACTAAACAATATATTAAATTATAAGTGCCGTAAAAGTTACTAAACATCAAAAAGTGAAAGTAGAAAAAAAAAATAAGGGTTAATACCACGAAAAACCCCAAACTGGTACATTTGTGATAATTTTACCCCGAACTTTTTTTTACCACGAAAAAACCTCAAATTGGTACACCTGTGATAATTTTACCTCCAACATATCACAAAAAATTCTAAACTGGTATATTTGTAATAATTTTCCCCCGACCTGGTATACATGTGATAATTTTACTGCGAACTTACGAAAAGAACCCCAAACTGATACACTCATGATAAATTTACCCCAAACTATTTTTTTACCACAAAAAACCCCAAACTGGTATACCTATGTAAATTTTACCTCGATCTAATTTTTTAATATTATTTTGAAATTTTTTATTTTATTTTTTTTATCCTTAATCTTCAACCTTGGCCGGTCGCCGAACCGACGACCGGCCAGAGGTGGAAGTCAACAAGGTCGACCTTGCTGGCGTCGGGCGAGGTCGGCCTTGCCAGCGGTCGGTGGGGCCGACCTCTGGCCGGTCGCCTGCGTTGGGTGAGGTCAAGATCCCAATTTTCTCACAGATTGACGCCCACCACCTCTTCTTCCTTCCTTCCTTCATTTCCTTAGTTTCTCATCAAATTTTCTCGAGAAAATCATAAAAAGAGAAAATCACAGAGAGAGAGAGAGAGAGAGAGAGAGAGAGAGAGAGAGAGAGAGAGAGAGAGAGAGAGAGAGAGAGAGAGAGAGTGAGTGAGTGATGGACGGATATGCGAGAGTGGGCAAGTTGGAGAAGGACCTAGAGCTCAGCGGCGGGGAGGCGCTATACCTGGGTTGAGCTACAGTGAGACCGATGGGGCTTCATCCGCAAGGTGTACGGGATCCTGACCTTGCCCAATGCCAGCGATCGGCCAGAGGTCGGCCCCGCCGGCCGCTAGCGAGGGCTCGGCCTGAGATCGAGCCTCGCCAGCGGCTGGCGAGGCTGAGCTCGCCGGCTTCCACCTCTGGCCGGCGACCGGCCAAGATTTAACATGAAGGATAGAAAAAAAAAAGAAATGAAAAGAAAAGAAAAGAAAAGAAAAAATAATAATAAAATTCAAAAATAATAAAAATAATATTAAAAAATTATTTCGTGGTAAAATTGTCACAGATGTACCAGTTTGAAGTTTTTGGTTGTCAAAATAATTAGTTCGGAATAAAATTATCACAAGTGTACCAATTTAAAATTTTTTGTGGTATGTTCAAGGTAAAATTTTCACAGGTGTACCAATTCGGAATAAAATTGTCACAATGTACCAGTTTGGGGTTTTTTGTGGTAAAAAAAAAATTGGGGTAAAATTGTCACAAATATACCAGTTTAGGGTTTTTCGTGATATTAACCTAAATTATAAAAAAGTTGAAGCAGTTGAAATCTGCCCTTTCAACATGTGATGAAAAGACAAAATGCTTACAAACATGCAACATTTCATGTATTTAATTCATAAAATTTGCTATAATACTTACATTTCGTGCATTTAAATCTTCAAACGTGCAACTCTGATGTACTTGAATCTATTCGTTAGCTCCGCCAATTGTAGCTGGAACCGTTAATTGTGGCTGGACGGAAAATAACACGTCACTCTTTATTTATATATTTTATACGGTTTAGTTCCAATTACAAACTTTTTTGTCGGGAAAAAATCCCCTTGGACCAAAACACTAATATTAACCTCTTTCCTCGACACGATCATGTTTACAACTAGAATACAACTCGAAACAAGAGCAAATTAGATACATGTTAAAAACTTAATGCAGCCGCTTCACATAACTTTACTGTCAAAAGAGTGTTGATACAAATGTGTGTAGCCATGAGATCATCGAGAAACTCGGACTTTCATTTGTCTCTCGGCATTTTCGGACGCTCTTCGAAATCTGTGCATATTTTTTATCACACCAAATAGTTCCCTCAGAACACGGTGTGTGGGCAATTTAACCTTGATAACCAACTTCTCCGGCACAAGTGCATCCCCGAGAAGAAACTTAATTAGGGCGAGCAGATGGTTCGACCCAAATTTATTAGCTCCAATGCCGATGATCTCAACTCTCTTGAGATGTTTTGCCAAACATTCAAAGTTCCCCTCCCATAAGCACAAAAATTGTTCTTCGTCAAAGTTAAAACATTCTTCAGATTCTTCGTCAAAATCAAACTGCACATAGATACCCCATTTAAGAAACTTATTTCACATTAGATGTGGATCCACCGAAAAAAAAAAAGTATCATTGGCTAACTAAAGTTTCAAACAAACAAAGTTCACTGCAAATGCTAGTTAGTTTTACTTTATAACGAGTCCTAATCAATGTAAGCTCTTAAACTTGTCTACACATTAACAACATGTTCTCTTTCTAAGTTCTCATCGCTAAACTCTTAGTTTGAGATCCTAACGCTACATGGCAGCAAAAGAACCTCCAGTACAACGCTGCAGTTACTTTTAAGACATGAACTAAAACAGCTTAATATCGCCCTGCACATATGTTAAGTAGACTGACGGAGCCATGAGCAAATTTCAATTGCTGGAACAGATAGAGTTTGAGATTGATCATCTTTATGTGCTTCCAAAAATTTGACTCACTGTTTAAACATTCATGCAAAGAGGAAGTCAGCACAAGAAGCAAACTGAAAATATCATAGCAAAGGAACAAACCTTCGATCGGGGGAGGTTAGTCAGGTGTATGACTAATTTTTCCAGGCACTGTGAACTTTGCAGTATGTATGCTATCCCAGGAAGGTCCCATTGACTAACTGGTGCATATAGTATCAGATTCTGACATTTTGACAATGGATATGGCACTCCTTCCATCTCCAAATGAGACAGAACCTAAGCACATTGAGCAAGCAACATAAAAAATTTAATTAATACTAGCTTTCCTGTTTAACATGAATAAAGAATAAAAAAATTACAATCCCTCCAAATACGATGTCCTTTGACCCTGTCTCCCAGACAGGAAAAGACCGATAAGCATACTATAAGTAGAAATGAAGAAGTGAATCCCTTTAAGAATAGAGACTATTTACATATGCTTCTTATGTTGAACTTGTGATACTTGAAGGATCTGAAAATGTAGTAGTTGGTCACATAAGACAGCAAACCTTGCTGTTGACAGAAGTTTCCAAGTAAATCCATCCATTGCCATTGTACATATATTGTGAGAATACTTTGTAAGATGATTATCAAACGAAAGCCTCATGTGATGAGAGAGAAGGACCGGTTCTGTCAACCTAAGATGACTAGGTCCATTCCTCTCCGTCATATTTCCAGATAATTGTATTTTCTCTATAAATTGAAAGAACCAAATTTCAAGAAACCTTTCCGACTGATTTCTTCATGCATTTTTCTTTTCAATATTAAGGCATCTAAGAATGCTGCGGCAACTAGCATCCACAATAATTAAACAGGGGGAAGAAGCTCCGAGGTTCACAATCTCATGCTGTAACTCGGAACACAAAGTTATGAATCATCCCATTTGTCAATAACTAATTACACATGAGTTCACAATGATTCCCCATGATGAAAGATAGAATGCCCCAGAGAGCTGAGATCACTCAACCGGGGCAACATACAGCACTAAATGGTGCTAATCACGGACACCATTCAACACGAGTACGTCTTATAAATGTTAAAAGTATCGAGCTTGTACCTGCAAACACCAACCACCAATGGTGATTGTAGGAACTCCGCGCAGCTTCTCGAGAAGTTCCTTCAACAAGTCGCGGCACATCGCCGTGTCATCAGTCACAACAGTTGGAAGGACAAAATCTAACTTGGCTTCCACCAAAGAAGATGCATCGTCAAGTGATATACCCTCTTGTCCCTCGAGTGGATACCATGTCCCTGATACACACAACGACAGCAAATGCGGGGCCCTAATTTTCTCCAAGGCAGAGAAACTGCCGCCGATGAGTAGCAAGTCTTTCACACTTGTTGAATCTATTACAATGTTCTTCATGCCCCAGCACCCACGCAACTCAAGGGACTCTAAAACAGGACTTCCCCTGAAAATTCTCTCGAGGATATCATCGCTCAACTTCACCTGTACCATTGACAAGACGTTAAGACGAGGCCACATAATAGCCGTACCCAACGGGAAACAGCACAAGCTGACTTCCAGGCGAACCAACCAATTCGAGCAAAACAAGAACTGCGGCAGTACATATGGGGACCGCAAACTGGTAATCAGCCACACGCGGAGATCCTCCACGCGGCGCTCCTCTGCGGCGCGGAGCCAGTGGTCGAGCTTGGGGCGGTTGGCCATGTTGTACTTGAAGTGGGAGATGTGGAATTTCTTCACCGCGGGCGAGGTGCACTGCCTCAGGACGCTGTCGACGAGGGACGGGAAGCCCGAGGGGCTGGCTTCGCGATTGCGATGCCAGAATCCATCGAACTCGAGGTGGGGGGTGGCGGTCGCCCAAGCGTACCGCCACCGCCTGGAGAGGGCGCTGGTCTTGACGACGTCTTTGAAGGGCAGATACGAGAAGATGCCGGTGATAACGTGGTCCGGCAAGGCGTTGATGTGATCCCTAGGGAAGCTCAAAGGAGGAGGAGGAGGTCGGTTCCCTTCGGTGCGACTCGGCAGGACGCCGGAGGATCTGCGGGGCATGGCGCCGTGGACGGAGGTCTCAAATGGGACCGAGGGGAAACGACGGTAACTTCAACAAGTGAGATCGCGGACGAAAGAGAGGGGCCCCTCGCCAAATGAACAAGGAGCTCCGCGGTCAGGCCTCCCTCGCCGGCATCCAGGGGGGGAAAGACCCAGCAAAAAAAAAAAAGAGGGGAGCTTTCCTCTCACCCAGACAGCTCCTCGGAGGCGACGGCGGCAATCGCGGGGGATCATGTGTCCGAACGCCCATGGTTTTGTCGCCGTCGCCGTCGGACAACTCTCAAAAGTCGACTGAAGCTGGGAAAGTACCGATCCCCGTGCATTGTTCCGAATATGTATCGGGCAATGGGGCTCGGCCCATTGGGCCCCTCCGGGTTTTGACGCGCTGCTTTAAAAGAAAAGAAGTGGACAAGGAGGTACGATCAAAACACAAATAAGACAGAATTGATATGAAAGTTATTTGTGCATTCTATGTGGAGAGTGACTAGATGATAGAAGATTAGATGTTCTCCTATCTTATCCAGCTTCGCCATCAACACACATCCAATATGTCAAAACTCAAACACAAGGGGACAAGGAGGTAACGATCAAAACACAAATAAGTATCTTTAGATCCTTTATTCATGCAAGAAAACATCACTAATTAGCCACGAGTGCCTTGCTACTTGTTAGATCACACTCTGTCTGGAAAGAACAGGACAGGATCATGCCCCTCCCCCCTCTCTCTCTCTCACTCTCTCTCTCCTCCCGCCACAATCCCACCCCCAGTTCAAACCCGAAGCCATTCCATTCTTCCACCTAAGAGAAAAGCTTTCCATGTTTATCTTGTCCTTTGTGGTTGAATTTTATATCTGGCTTTATATATGGGTATATCCAATCTGACAGACTTTGCATAACCCAAAGAGGAGACCTTAAATCATATCACCCTGTATAAAAACCGAAGAACAGTCAACCAAGTCCACGGCATGAAAAGAAGGATATCTTTCAGTAGTGATCACTATAAGTAGCAGATGGAACAAATTTGTAAAACTTAGAGGCAACAACGAATTCAATCACTCGTCATCCCAAAGTAATTGTTCCATCGTAGAGAGAGAGAGAGAGAGAGAGAGAGAGAGAGAGAGAGAGAGAATGCTAGAGAGTCATTATATATATTTCCAAGAAAAGGAAAAGAGAAAGGTTTAGAGCATTCTACCTTTCGTCCTCCGGTATACAAGTAGTTTCCATCTTTTGAAAATAACGTCTGTAATTGCAAGCTAATCAGCTATAATTTCTTGAGAAAAAACCACCACACGAGGGAAATCCAATCATCTAGTACTTACATGGGTAATCCCACCTTGTTGACCATGTAAGACGTATAAGAGTTCCATGTTATCTTCTCTGTAGATAGCAGTAGTCTGGCTGTAGGAACCAGTTGCCAGCATTCCGGTATGGGCTGGAGAGAAAGCAATGGCAGATATAATACCTGCACAAAAGACAAAGAGAGAGTGAGATACTCGATTCTTCCTTTTTTTCTTGTGATCTCAATATTATCTTGTATAATTATACCATAAACAAGGGAATCCAGGGCATTTAGGAGATCGGCTAGTTCCCTTTACATGCATAGTATATCAGCCTTGTGGCAAAATAAATAGAACAAGTCAGCGTTACAATCAAATGTGATCCTTTGAAGATTAAGTGTTGAGTACATCTCAGAATCTCTACCGGGGCGATGTACGTCAAACACTCTTATGGATTTGTTATATCCAGCAAGGATCCTACACATGAACAGAGGGTGTAGGTTGAAACTTTAATAGATTTAAAATGCAATAAACCCTAAGTAAAGAGAATAGCTCCAACAACCTAAATCATTTACGATAGCCACAAAAACCACTAAGCAACCAAACACCGACATTCCTAAATTCGGGTAGCAGAACATGACCAAAATCACCAAATGCTGATTTCTTTCAACAATAGAAGGTAAAGTAATTTAAGATTTCAAAAGGAAATTTCAGGGGGAATTAGAGTGGACCATTGACACGAGGGAATTTAAAAGTCTTCAAAATTGAATGTTAACCTTACTTGTTCCCCGCAGTAAATGCAATTGAAAATGCAGCTGTAATTTCATCCACAGCATCATAAGCCCTGTATGTGCAACGTAGCTGCAATGTCAAGTGTATGAGTCAATAAAATTTCCTGTTTTTTTCAAGACAATAAAAAACGAAACTGCACATAGAAGATTGTAAAGGAGAAGTGAAGGTTTATGCAGACAACAGAGTTGCTACAGAGCATGTCTAAAATGTGTGATAAGCTTGGGGTCCACGATTTCAGTGTACCCCTGAACGATTATATGGCTTCCATGAAGTCTCCCTAGAGTTCTTGAAACCTCTAAACTAAACTCAACATTTCTGACCTGTAAAGTAGTAGCATCCCAGACATGAATTGGATGATCACGAGTAGTAGATGCGAATACACAGCTAACCGGGTCTGAAATGTGAAAAACTTCCATAATCAATTCTAGCTGTGGCTAATTACCAGAAGAGAAATAACTATAGCCGAAAATATAAACATGATACATAAAAGAAGAGTAAAATTTTACGAGACAACCTGTAGCAGACATGTATGGGTACCAACAGAAATCATAAACTGATTCCCCTTCTGTCACAACTAGATTTGCTGCAAAGGAATCTGCAACCAAAGAGAACTACATGAGACATAGACAACCCATTATCTGGATTTGCGAATATTTGGTTGTTGATATCACTCGGAAATAGTCTCAGCATTCCCAAAGCTAACATCTTTCAAGCTATTTAAACACACAGAAAGAAACCCACATTCTACACGACCACAAAACGCCTTGAGGACCTGTAATCAAGATTAGACGAACTTGCATTTGTGCCGTCGTCACCCCCGTAGTCTGGTCTGATCATGACACAGAGCAATCAAATTACCACCAACATCGCCACATCTCGGGAAGGAATAAAACATAAAAAGGAACAGAAAAATCAGCAAGCACCACCACTGTCCCGAAACAACTTACAATGCGAACACACGAAGGGTATTGTCCTCCGAACTACTGAGAAGGTAAGTCCCATCAGGCGACCCAACGGAAGCCCAAAAAAAAGAAGAAGCTATCATCGCTACCAAAGCCACGCCACTACTCAGAAAACGAACAACCCAGACACCCATCAAGGGAAAACGAAAAATTCACGCACCCTTTGACGCCTTTGAGGAAGTTGTTCGGCTTCTGGTATGTTCTGAACTGTCTGTGGAAATGATAGGCTCTTTGAGGGGGGACATCGAACCGAATGGCAGGCCATGAGTATTCTTGATGAGTGGCCTCTGTGGGTTCCTTGAGCGGGCTCAGTTGATGATGCTCTTCTTCTTCTTATTCTTCTTCAACCATCCTTGCGTGAGAGAAAGAGTGCGCGTGGTGAAGAGCTTGGAGCACGAGCGGTGAGACGTTTCTTGAGTTCTCGCCGGCGAGTTTCGGCTCCCGTCGACGCTTCCCTCTTTTTGAGTTCGGCAAAGGGAAAGAGACAACCCCTCACCCTTCGATTTGCGAAATGAAAATAAAACAGGAATAAACAATAATTTCATGAATAACAACTAAACTCAGAATAAATACTCGAAACATATATTTTATTTGATAACAGGATAATTAATAAGAACAATCAATTTTAATTGTATATTGATTAAATCCTAATATCATATAATATTGCATCGATTTCTATTCATGTTACGTTAGAGATTATGAAGCATAGACAAATTAACGACTATGGAACAAGGATTCGTAGTTACAAGTCGTAATTTTTTTTCCGAGTTATAAATTTGAGGTGTCATTTACAATTTACCCGCATATAATTATAATGCTTAATAGTAATTATTAGAATTATATTACAATTTCTGGTGATTACAAGTTAGTCAAAAATTGCTATGACCTTTTTTTTAATATAATCCGATAAATATATCAGTATATCGTGATTACATAACTAGTAATTCTTATGCAAATAATTATATAGTGGTGTAAACATATCAAATCATACACTATTAACAGTTTTTAAAATGAATTATAATGATCAATTATGATAAAACCGTTTTAATTGATTATTATAATTAATATCTTGATTATTTAAGTTTGAAAATTGAGTCATCTTATAATTTAAGCTTCATTTAATTCAATAATTTAATATTTGAGAACTTTATTCTAGTATAGTTGATTATATACTAGGCATTGCACTTCATTTGATATAAATCACGTGTCGGTGAAGCACAGAAAAATCCCTCTATACTTCTACTTATGATTTTGCTTTGAAATCTGAAGCCAAAAAAATATGAAAAAAAAAAATATAATTCGAAATTACATTATTTAAATATTTCTAAATGTTTCGAGTGTTTCACACTAAACAAGAAATTAAATTATAAGTGTCGCAAAAGTTACTAAACATAAAAAATATAAAAAAGTTGAAGCAGTTGAAACATGTGATGAAAAGACAAAATGCTTACACGTAACTTTACTGTGAAAAGAGTGTTAATACAAATGAGCGTAGCTAGGAGATCAACGAGACACCCGGACTTTCATATGCTTATTCCAAGACACCAATCGAAAATGACCTCGGCATTTTCGGACGCTTTTGGAAAGCTGCGCACATTTTTTTTCGCACCAAGTAGTTTCCCCGGAACAAAGTGTGTGGGCAATTTAACCTTGATAACCAACTTCTCCAGCACAAGTGCATCCCCGAGAAGAAACTTAATCAGGGCGAGCTGACGGTCCGACCCAAATGAATCAGCTCCAATGCCGATGATCTCAACTCTCTTGAGATGTTTTGCCAAGCATTCCAAGTTCCCCTTCCGTAAGCACAATAATTCTTCTTCGTCAAAGTTAACGCGATCTTCAGATTCTTCATCAAGCTCAAACTGCACATAGATACCCCGTTTAAGAAAACTTATTTCACATTAGATGTGGATCCACTGAAAAAAATAAATCATTGGCTCACTAAAATTTCAAACAAACAACTTTCATTTATTCACTGCAGATGCTAGTTAGTTTTACTTTATAACGAATCTTAATCAATTTAAGCTCTTAAACTTGTCCACACATTAAAAACATGTTCTCTTACTAAGTTCTCATCACTAAACTCTTAGTTCGAGATCCTAACGCTACATGGCAGCAAAAGAACCTCCAGTACAACACTGCGGTTACTTTAAGACATGAACTAAAACAGCTTAATATTGCCCTGCACAAATGTTAAGTAAACTGACAGAGCCATGAGATTGATCATCTTTATGTGCTTCCAAAAATTTAACTCACTGTTTAAACATTCGTGCAAAGAGGAAGTCAGCACAAGAAGCAAACTGAAAATATCATAGCAAAGGAACAAACCTCCAATCGGGGGAGGTGTATGACTAATTTTTCCAGGCACTGCGAACTTCGCAGCATGTATGCTATCATAGGAAGGTCCCCTTGACAGACTGGTGCATGTAGTATCAGATTCTGACATTTTGACACTGGCACTCCTTCCATCTCCAAATGGGACATTATCTAAGCACATTGAGCAAGCAACATAAAAAATTTAATTAATACTAGTTTTCCTGTTTAACATGAATAAAGAATAACAAAATTACAATCCCTCCAAATACGATGTCCTTTGACCCTGTCTCCCAGCCAGGAAAAGACCGATAAGGATACTACAAGTAGAAATGAACAAGTGAATCCCTTGAAGAATAGAGACTATTTACATATGCTTCTCATGTTGAACTTGTGATACTTGAAGGATCTGAGAATTGTAGTAGCTGGTCACATAAGACAGCAAATCTCGTTGTTGAGAGAAGTTTCCAAGTAAATCCATCCATGGCCATTGTACATATATTGTGAGAATACTTTGTAAGATGATTATCAAACGACAGCCTCATGTGACGAGAGCGCAGGACCGGTTCTGTCAACCTAAGATGACTAGGTCCATTACTGTCCGTCATATTTCCAGATAATTGTATTTTCTCTAAAAATTGAAAGAATCAAATTTCAAGAAACCTTTCCGACTAATTTCTTCACACATTTTTCTTTTCAATATTAAGGCATCTAAGAATGCTGCGGTGACTAGCATCCACAATAATTAAACAGAGGGAAGAAGCTCCAAGATTCACAATCTTATGCTGTAACTTGGAAGACAAAATTATGAATCATCCCATTTGCCAATAACTAATTACACATGAGTTCACAATGATTCCCCTTGATGGAAGACATAGAATGCCACAAAAAGCTGAGGTCACTCAAACGGGCCAACATACAGCACTAAATGGTGCTAATCACGGACACCATTCAACACGAGTACGTCTCATAAATGTTAAAAAGTATCGAGCTTGTACCTGCAAACACCAACCACCAATGGTGATTGTAGGAACTCCGCGCAGCTTCTCGAGAAGTTCCTTCAACAAGTAGCGGCACATCCTCTTGGCAACAGGCCATCCAGTTGGAATGACAAAATCTAACTTGGCTTCCACCAAAGAAGATACATCGTCAAGTGATATATCCCGTCGTCCCTCGGGTGGATCCCACGTCCCTGATACACACAACGACAGCAAACGTGGGGCCCTAATTTTTCCCAAGTTAGAGAAACTGCCGCCGATGAGTAGCAAGTCTTTCACACTTGTTGAATCTATTACAATGTTCTTCATGCCCCAGCACCCACGCAACTCAAGGGACTCTAAAACAGCACTTCCCCGGAAAATTCTCCCGAGGATGTCATCGCTCAACTTCACCCGTTCCATCAACAAGACCTTAAGACGGGGCCATTTAATAGCTGTACCCAACGAGAAACAGCACAAGCTGACTTCCAGGCGCACCAACCAATTCGAGCAAAACAAGAACTGCGGCAGTACATATGTGGACCCGAAATCGGTAGACAGCCACAGGCTAGACAGCCACAGGCGGAGATCCTCCACGCGGCACTCCTCCGCGATGCGGAGCCAGTGCTCGAGCTTGGGGTCGTTGGCCTTGCTGTACTTGAAGTGGGTGATGTGGAATTTCTTCACCGTGGGCGAGGTGCACTGCCTCAGGACGCTGTCGACGAGGGACTGGAAGCCCGAGGGGCTGGCTTCGTGATTGCGATGCCAGAGTCCATCGAACTTGAGGTGGGGGGTGGTCGTCCTCCAAGTGTACTGCCACCGCCTGGAGAGGGCGCTGGTCTTGACGACGTCTTTGAAGGGCAGATACGAGAAGATGCGGGTGACAGCGTCGTCCGGCAAGGCGCTGATGTGATCCATAGGAGGGAAGCTCAAAGGAGAAGTAGGAGGAGGAGGTCGGTTCCCTTCGGTGCGACTCGGCAGGACGCCGGAGGATCTGCGGGGCATTGGCGCCGTGGACGGAGGTCTCAAATGGGACCGAGAGGAAACGACGGTACCTTCAACAAGAGAGATCGCGGACGAGACAGGGTCCCCTCGCCAAATGAACAGGGAGCTCCGCGGTCAGTCCTCCATCGCCGGAAAAAGGAGGGGGGAGCTTTCCTCTCACCCAGACAGCTCCTCGGAGGCGGCGGCGGCAATCGCGGGATCATGTGTCCGAACGCCCATGGTTTTGTCGACGTCGCCGTCGCCGTCGCCGTCGCCGTAGCTTTGCGTGAGGGCATTGGAAGTACCTAGTCGGACAACTCTCAAAAAGTCTGACTGAAGCTGGGAAAGTTACCGATCCCGTGCAATTCTTCCAAATATGTATCGGGCAATGGGGCTCGGCCCATTGGGCGCCTCCGGGTTTTGATGTGCTGCTCTCTTTGCATATAAAAAGAAAAGAAGTGGACAAGGAGGTACGATCAAAACACAAATAAGACAGAATTGATAGGAAAATTATTTGTGCATTCTATCTGGAGAGTGACTAGATATAAGATTAGATGTTCTCCTATCTTATCCAGCTTCGCCATTAACACACATCCAATATGTCAAAACTCAAACACAAGGGGACAAGGAGGTACGATCAAAACACAAATAAGTATCTTTAGATCCTTTATTCACGTAAGAAAACATCGCTAATTAGACACGAGTGCCTTGTTACTTGTTAGATCACACTCTGTCTGGAAAGAGCAGGACAGGATCATGCCCCTCCCCCCTCTCTCTCTCTCTCACTCTCTCTCTCCTCCCGCCACAATCCCGCCCCCAGTTCAAACCCGAAGCCATTCCATTCTTCCTCCTAAGAGAAAAGCTTTCCTTGTTTATCTTGTCCTTTGTGGTTGTATTTTATATCTGGCTTTATACATGGGTATATCCAATCTGATAGACTTTGCATAAGCCGAAGAGGAGACCTTAAATCATATTACCCAGTCTAAAAGCCAAAGAACAGTCAACCAAGTCTAAGACATGAAAAACGATATCTTTCAGTAATGATTACTATCAGTAGCAGATGGAACAAATTTGCATAATTTAGAGGCAACAACAAATTCATCACTCGTCATCACAAGGTAATTGTTCCATCGTAGAGAGAGAGAGAGAGAGAGAGAGAGAGAGAGAGAGAGAGTCATTATAAAAATTTCCAAGAAAAAGAAAAGAGAAGCTTTAGAGCATTCTACCTTTTGTCCTCCAGTATACAAGTAGTTTCCATCTTTTGAAAATGACACCTGCAATTGCAAGCTTATCACCTTTATTTTCTTGCGAAAAAACCATCACATAAGGGAAATCCAATCATCTAGCACTTACATGGGTATCCCCACCTTGTTGACCATGCAAGACGTATAAGAGTTCCATGTTATCTTCTCTGTAGATTGCAGTAGTCTGGCTGTAGGAACCAGTTGCCAGCATTCCGGTATGGGCTGGAGAGAAAGCAACGGCAGATATAATACCTGCACAAAAGCAATAGACAATGAGATACTCAATTCTTCCTTTTTATCTTGTGATCTCAATATTATCTTGTATAATTATACAATAAACATGGAAATCCAGGGCAATAAGGAGAGATCGGCTAGTTCCCTTTACATGCATAGTATATAAGACCCGTGGAAAAATAGATAGAACAAGTCAGCCTTACAATCAACTGTAATTATTTGAATGAGATACTCAATTCTTCTCAACTGTAGTTTTTGAAATCCTCTTTTATTTAACTTGCTAAACAAATCTCGAGTAACAGCTAAACCAGGACAAACACAACAATGCACCTGTTTGACCTTCTTTATTTCCTTGAAGTGCTGAGTGCATCTCAAAATCTCTACCAGGGCGATGTACGTCAAGCACTCTTATGGATTTGTTATGTCCAGCAAAGATCCTACACATGAACAGAGGATGTAGGTTGAAACTTTAATAGACTTCAAATGCTATAAACCCTATGTAAAGAGAATTCTCCAACAAACTAAATCATTTATGATAACCACAAAAACCACTAAGCAACCAAACACCTACATTTCGAAATTCAGGTAGCAAAGCATAACCAAAATCACCAAATCCAGATTTCTTTCAACGATATAAGGTAAAGTAATGCACGATTTCAAACAAGATTTTCAAGGGGAATTAGAGTGGACTGTTGACATGAGGGACCTTAAGAGTCTTCAAAATTGAATGTTAACCTTACTTGTTCCCTACAGGATTAAATGCAATTGAAAATGCAGCTGTAATTTCATCCGCAGCATCATATGCCGTATGTGCAACGTAGCTGCAATGTCAAGTGTACGAGTCAATAAAATTTTCTCTTTTTTTCCAAGACAATTCAAAACAAAGTTGCACGAAGAAAATTGCAAAGGAAAAGCTAAGGTGTATGCAGACAACAGAGTCGATACAAAGCATGTCTAAGATGTGTGGTAAGCTTGGGGTCCACAATTTCAGTGTACCCCTAAACGATTATATGGCTTCCATAAAGTCTCCCTAGAGTTCTTGAAACCTCTAAACTAAACTTAACAATTCTGACCTGTCCAGTAGTAGCATCCCAGACATGAATTGGATGATCACGCGTAGTTGATGCGAATACACAGCTAACCGGGTCTGAAATATGAAAAACTTCCATACTCAATTCTAGCGGTGGCTAATTACCAGAAGAGAAATAACTATAGATGAAAATATAACCGTGATATGTTAAAAAAGAGTAAAATTTAATGGGACAACCTGCAGCAGACATGTACGGGTACCAACAGAAATCATAAACTGATTCCCTTTCTGTCACAACTAGATTTGCTGCAAAAGAATCTGCAACCAAAGAGAACTACAAGAGACATAGACAACCCATTATCTGGATTTGCGAATATTTGGTTGTTGATATTACTCGCAAATAGTCTCAGCATTCCTAAAGCTAACATCTTTCAAGCTACTTAAACGCACAGAAACAAACCCACATTCTACATGGCCACAGTATTCCTTGCGAACCTGTACCTTGATCAACATCAGACGAACTTGCATTTGTGCCGTCGTCACCCCCTTAGTCTGGTCTGATCATGACACAGAGCAATCAAATTACCACCAACAGCGCAACATCTCGTGAAGGAATAAAACATAAAAAGGAACAGAAAAATCAGCAAGCGCCACCATTTTCCCAAAACAAACTTACAATGCGAACACGCGAAGGGTATTGTCCTCCGAACTACTGAGAAGGCAAGTCCCATCAGGCGACCTAACGAGAACCCAAAAAGAAAACGAAGCAATCATCGCTCCCAAAGCCACACCACTGCTCAGAGAACGAACAACCCAAACACCCATCAAGGGAAAACGAAAAATTCACGCACCCTTTGACGCCTTTCAGGAAGTTGTTCGGCTTCTGGTCAGTTCTGAACTGTGTGTGGAAATGATAGGCTCTTTGAGGGGGGACATCGAACCGAATGGCAGGCCATGAGTATTCTTGATGAGCGGCCTCTGTGGGTTGGTCGAGCGGGCTCAGTTGATGTTGCTCTTCTTCTTCTTCTGCGACCATCCTTGCGTGAGAGAAAGAGTGTGCGTGGTGCAGAGCTTGGAGCACGAGCGGTGAGACGTTTTTTGAGTTCTCGCCGGCGAGTTTGGCTCCCGTCGACCCTTCCCTCTTTTTGAGTTCGGCGAAGGGAAAGAGACAACCCCTCAAGCTTCGATTTGCGAAATGAAAATAAAACGGGAATAAACAATAATTTCACGAATAAAAACTAAACTCAGAATAAATACTCAAAACATATATTTTATTTGATGACAGGATAATTTATAGGGTTAATATCACGAAATACTCCAAACTGGTACGCATAGGATAAATTTACCCCAAATTAATTTTTTTATCACGAAAAATCCAAAACTGGTATACGTTGGACAAATTAATTTTAAATTAATATTTTGACTCAAAAAATCCCGAACTGGTATATTTATGACAAATTTACCCTCCATTAAATTGAATTAATACCACAAAAAATCACAAATCGATATACCTGTAAAACCCGAAAGGTTACACCCGTTAAACTGTCACTTGCCATTCAACTCAGAAATTTGACGATAAAATTTAACGGAAATTATTGAAGAATAAAATTATTACAGGTGTATCGATTTAGGGTTTTTACTAGTCAAAAAATTAGTTTGGAATAAATTTATCACATGTGTACCAGTTTGAGATTTTTCGTGATATTGATCCTAATTTTATAAGAACAACATCCGTAAGCTTGAATTTTTCTAATTAATTTTAATTGTATATTGATTAAATCCTAATATCATATAATATTGCATCGATTTCTATTCATGTTACGTTAAAGATTATGAAGCATAGGCAAATTAACGACTATGGAACAAGGATTCGTAATCACAGGTCGTAATTTTTTTTCTGAGTTATAAATTTGAGGTGTCATTTACAATTTACCCGCATCCAATTATAATGCTTAATAGTAATTATTAGAATTATATTACAATTTCTGGTGATTACAAGTTAGTCAAAAATTGCTATGACCTTTTTTTTAATATAATCCAATAGATATATCAGTATATCGTGATTACATAACTAGTAATTCTTATGCAAATAATTATATATTGGTGTGAACATATCAAATCATACACTATTAACAGTTTTTAAAATGAACTATAATTATCAATTATGATAAAATCGCTTTAATTAATTATTATAATTAATATCTTGATTATTTAAGTGTGAAAGTTGAGTCATCTCATAATTTAAGCTTCATTTAATTCAATAGTTTAATATTTGAGAACTTTATTCTAGTATGGTTGATTATAGACTGAGCATCGCACTTCATTTGATATAAATCACATGTCGGTGAAGCACAGAAAAATCTCTCTATGTTTCTACTTATTATTTTGCTTTGAAATCTGAAGCCAAAAAAATATGAAAAAAATGATATATGATTCGAAATTACATTATTTAAATATTTCTAAATGTTTTGAGTGTTTCACACTAAACAATAAATTAAATTATAAGTGCCGCAAAAGTTACTAAACATAATAAAGTGAAAGTAGAAAAATATTAAAAAGTTGAAGCAGTTGAAACATGTGATGAAAAGACAAAATGCTTATAAACATGCAACATTTCGGGTGTTTAAATCCTAAAATTTGTTATAATACTTGCATTCGTGCATTTAAATCTTCAAACATGCAACTTCGATGTACTTGATGCAACTTCGATCTACTTGAGTCTTTTCGTTAGCTCCGTCAATTGTAGCTGGACGGATGGATGGAAAATAACACGTGACTCTTTATTTATTAATTTTATATGTCTCGACTGTTAGTAAAGAAAAAATGCCACACAAAGGTTTTCCCAAAGTCGAACCAAATCGAACCGGGGAACATAGTTTAGTTCCGATCGCACACTTTTTTGCGGGGAAAAAATCCCCTTGAACCAAAACACTAATATGAACCTCTTTCCTCGACAGGATCATGTTTACAACTAGAATAAAACTCGAAACAAGAGCAAATTAGATACGTGTTAAAAACTCAATACAGTCGCTTCACGTAACTTTACTGTGAAAAGAGTGTTAATACAAATGAGCGTAGCCATGAGATCAACGAGAAACCCGGACTTTCATATGCTTATACCAAGACACCAATCGAAGATAACCTTGGCATTTTCGGACGCTTTTCAAAATCTGAGCACATTTTTTTCGCACCAAGTAGTTTGCACGGAACAAAGTGTGTGGCCAATTTAACCTCGATAACCAACTTCTCCAGCACAAGTGCATCCCCAAGAAGGAACTTAATCAGGGCGAGCAGATGGTTCGACCCAAATCTATCAGCTCCAATGCCGCTGATCTCAACTCTCTTGAGATGTTCTGCCAAACATTCCAAGTTCCCCTTCCGTAAGCACAGTAATTCTTCTTCGTCAAAGTTAACACGATCTTCAGATTCTTCATCAAGCTCAAGCTAAAACTGCACATACATACCCATTTAAGAAACTTATTTCACATTAGATGTGGATCCACCGAAAAAAAAAAATCATTGGCTCACTAAAATTTCAAACAAACTTTCATTTGTTCACTGCAGATGCTAGTTAGTTTTACTTTATAACGAGTCTTAATCAATTTAAGCTCTTAAACTTGTCCACACATTAAAAACATGTTCTCTTACTGAGTTCTCATCACTAAACTCTTAGTTCGAGATCCTAACGCGACATGGCAGCAAAAGAACCTCCAACACAACACTGCAGTTACTTTAAGACATGAACTAAAACAGCTTAATATTGCCCTGTATAAATGTTAAGTAGACTGACAGAGCCATGAGCAAATTTCAATTGCTGGAACAGATAGAGTTTCAGATCGATCATCTTTATGTGCTTCCAAAAATTTAACTCGCTGTTTAAACATTCGTGCAAAGAGGAAGTCAGCACAAGAAGCAAACTGAAAATATCATAGCAAAGGAACAAACCTTCGATCGGGGGAGGTTAGTCAAGTGTATGAATAATTTTTCCAGGCACTGTGAACTTCGCAGCATGTATGCTATCTCGGGAAGGTTCAGTTGACTAACCGGTGCCTCTAGTATCAGATTCTGACATTTTGGCAATGGAGATGGCACTCCTTCCATCTCCAAATGGGACATTATCTAAGCACATTGAGCAAGCAACATAAAAAATTTAATTAATACTAGTTTTCCTGTTTAACATGAATAACAATCCCTCCAAATACGATGTCCTTTGACCCTGTCTCCCAGCCAGGAAAAGACCGATAAGGATAGTACAAGTAGAAATGAACAAGTGAATTCCTTGAAGAATAGAAACTATTTACATATGCTTTTCACGTAGAACTTGTGATACTTGAAGGATCTGAAAATTGTAGTAGTTGGTCACGTAAGACAGCAAACCTCGTTGTTGACAGAAGTTTCCAAGTAAATCCATCCATTGCCATTGTACATATATGGTGAGAATACTTTGTAAGATGATTATCAAACGACAGCCTAATGCGATGAGAGAGCTGGACCGGTTCTGTCAACCTAAGATGACTAGGTCCATTACTCTCCGTCATATTTCCGGATAATTGTATTTTCTCTATAAATTGAAAGAATCAAATTTCAAGAAACCTTTCCGACTAATTTCTTCACGCATTTTTCTTTTCAATATTAAGGCATCTAAGAATGCTGCGGTGAGTAGCATCCACAATAATTAAACAGAGGGAAAAAGCTCCAAGGCTCACAATCTTATGCCGTAACTCGGAACACAAAGTTATGAATCATCTCATTTGCCAATAACTAATTACACATGAGTTCACAATGATTCCCCCCATGATGAAAGATAGAATGCCACAGAGAGCCGAGGCCACTCAACCGGGGCAACAAACAGAACTAAACGGTGCTAATCGCGGACACCATTCGACACGAGTTCGTCTCATAAATGTTAAAAAGTATAGATCTTGTACCTGCAAACAGCAACCACCAATGGTGATTGTAGGAACTCCGCGCAGCTTCTCGAGAAGTTCCTTCAACAAGTCGCGGCACATCCTCTTAGCAACAGGCCAACCAGTTGGAATGACAAAATCTAACTTGGCTTCCGCCAAAGAAGATACATTGTCAAGTGATATATCCTCTCGTCCCTTGAGTGGATACCATGTCCCCGATACACACAACGACAGCAAATGCGGGGCCCTAGTTTTCTCCAAGTTAGAGAAACTGCCGCCGATGAGTAGCAAGTCTTTCACACTTGTTGAAGAATCTATTACAATGTTCTTCATGCCCCAGCACCCACGCAACTCAAGGGACTCTAAAACAGGACTTCCCCTGAGAATTCTCCCGAGGATATCATCGCTCAACTCCACATCTTCCATCGACAAGACCTTAAGAAGAGGCCACCAAATTCTAGTAGCCCCGTCCAACGAGAAACAGCACGCACTGACTTCCAGGCGCACCAACCCACTCAAGCAATACAACAACTGCGGCGGTTTATATCTGAACCCGGCCGAACAGGCAACCAGCCGCAGGCGAAGATCCTCCGCGCAGTGCTACTCCGCGATGCGGAGCCAGTGCTTGAGCTTGGGGCCGTTGGCCTTGCTGTACTTGAAGTTGATGACGTGGAATTTCTTCACCGCGGGCCGGGCGAACTGGCTCAGGACCATGTCGACGTAGAATTGGAAGGCCAAGGGATGACAATACCGGACTCCATCGAACTCGAACTCCAACTCGAGGTGGGGGGTGGTGGTCCCCAAGTGTACCGCCACCGCCTGGAGAGGAAGCTGGTCTTGACGACGTCTTTGAAGGGGAGAAAGGAGAAGATGCGGGTGATAACGTCGTTTGGCAAGGCGCTGATGTGATCCATAGGAGGGAAGCTCAAAGGAGGAGGAGGAGGAGGAGGAGGAACAGGGTCCCTTCGGTGCGACTCGGCAGGTCGCCGGAGGATCTGCGGTGCACGGCGCCGTGGACGGAGGTCTCAAAAGGGACCGAGGGGAAACGACGCAACCTTCAACAAGAGAGAACGAGGACGAGGCCGCTCGCCAATGAACAGGGAGCTCCGCAGTCAGGCCGCCATCGCCGGCATCCAGGGGCGGGAAACCCAGCAAAAAAGGAGGGTGGGGAGCTTTCCTCTCGCCGCCCAGATCTGTTCAGGAAAGATTATTCACCTGTCTTCAGAATGCCCAGCTTGTGCCAGGAGGTCTTAACATTTTGGTAATGTCCAACATAAAAGCTTCCTTATTTTCATCGGTCCCTTTAGAAATCACGTTTACAGCTCCGGAATGATCAGGCAAAGGATTCTTTCGTACATTTGGAGTATCCTTACACCTAAATTTATAGAGATATTACTTAACAAAAGAGAAGACCCTTCGAATTCCCAAAAACCGAACAAACTCTAAGGGAAATTCACGTAATTTTGACTCTCAAAAGCAACAACACACCTTTTTTCTGCGGCAATATGCGTTCAGCACGGCCTTTTCTACGCTCCCTCCCACGAGCGATCCCCCTTCTGCGAGCGTGTGTGAGAGAAAGGAGGAAAAGGCTGGGCTGCTTGTGGGCTTCTTGCATGGGTTGGCCTTGGTGGGCTGCAAGAGTCCAACTTTTCCAGAAAAGTCGGATATACAAGGGCCGCGTGTCCTGGGCTTGGCCCTTCCTTTTTTCATTTTTTTTTTGCGACATCATTTTTCTATTTTTTTCTAATAATTTTTACTATTTGCTAATTGACCTATTTGTCTATTTTTTTTTGTTTCTTCTATTTTGACCTATTTTTGTAAAAACGCCTTAACAGGTTGACAAAATCAAGTGTCAACATTGCCGTACAAACAAAACTCAAAAAGGGCGCTCTAACAAAAGTAGGTTGATAGATACAAAGTTCGGCTCTCTTTTGTGATTTTCCGTTATAGGATATGTAAACACACTTTATGTACATAGTAAATGCATTACTACAATTTGGCATGTTTGGTAAATCTTACAATCACTGCTAGTAAATCTCGCTAGGGCACGATGTTCTGTCCTTTCCAGGTTCAAATACTCGGAGAAAGCAGGAAGATTAGTCAAAGTGAGGTTTACAAGCCTACTTGCTTAATAAATGCTAGGTATGCGACCTACTTAGGATGATTATATATAGGTGAATCCCTACCCCCAACTTGCTTAATAAATGCTAGGTATATGACCTACTTAGGATGATTATAATTAGGTGAATTTCTATCCCCTCCCCTATAGCTTCACAAATAGAGAGAGAGAGAGTAGTCCGTCCCCGAGGGAGACAAAAATAAAAAAGTCCCGTGAAAAGTTTTTTTTTTTTTTTGGTAAGGTCCCGTGAAAAGTTTGTAGGAGCTAGTTTGCTAATTGATTTGTGTGAGAAAATATGCTGTAATAGTAACAGAGAATTTTTATTAGAACGAATAAAAAGAGTCTTGTTGAACAAGATCTATTAATTATATACAGGAAAAGTGTGGGTTTACAACAAATTCCTGCGACCTGAAAAGTGTGGATTTGCAAAAAGTGTGGGTTTATTTTTCTTTTTTTTCTTTTCTGTCTTATTATTTTTCCTTCTTCCTCGATCGGTTGCCAGCCAGTCGCCATGGCCGGCGATTAGCCCTGGAAGAAGGAAAAATAAAAAATAATTAAAATAATTAGAATTGCTTTTGTATTTTCCTGGGAAAATTGAATCAAATTTTCCATATCAAATGACGAAAAATGTTTTCTAGTTCATTTTCAGGTTTTAACCAAATACGGGAAAATATTGTTATTTTCTTGGAAAATGACTTCCTGTAAGACATTTTTTTGGAATTGTCATATTTTTTGTGAAACAAACGGAGCCTAAATCTTTTCTCTTGACCACACTCCGTAAATGGCATATGGACAACAATTCATTAAGAGGTCAATGAGCATTTAATTGACAAAGCGTGCAAATGAAATGAGTCATCACTCACTATTATGATCATGTTGTGACTCTAATGGATTAAAGTTGCGACAGTTCTGATATTCTTAATGAGCACTTATTGTCCGTCTTCAATAATGAAATTGAAAACCTCTATGTAGAAACTCTCCATAAATCCTGTCTTCACGTTACGCTGCAAGAGCATAAATAGTCCGCAATCCCCAGGTGAGCTGTGGATCTTTGAAGAGGAGAAACCAGAGACTGGTATTGATTCTGCACTTCTCTTAGGGAAAAATAATTATGTCATGCACATTGTTTGGACGATGTTATTATACCTCTATCAACTAAATCTTCATGATTGCAAAATCATCACATGACACCACCAGAGTTTATAAATAGCTCGTGATCCCAGGACTATACATGCACATTTCAGCATTTCTGCACACGTTATGTACGTCAACGTAAGTACAAACATGCATAGAATCATGTCAACATGATCAATTAATCTAAGCTCGTCATTCATTACTAGAGAAAATATCAGCTTAAACCTGTTAGCAATATTAGGATATTTAGAAAAGATATTTAGGATATTTTTTATGATTTTCTATACCCATTTTGATTATGCATATCACATTTAATTTCCTCTATCTAAACCTATAAATAGGCTGTTCATGTACTATTTTCTATATATCGAATTATACACAAATTCTTCAATCCTATCCTCCGGTTTATAAATTCTGAACTTGGTATTGCAAGCTTCATATGATGATGACAGGTATAATCTTGGCATCGGTATATTACATGCCTTGGCTTTGACATTACATTGCAGGTGGTTGGGATGGCTAATGAACGAGCTGCAGTACTGATGTTGATCACCTGTGTTTTGTCTTCAATGGCATTGGTGGCTCTCGGCATCCTGAAAGATTGGTCAGACAATGATAGCAGTGCGGAAGCTCCGAAATACACTGCAGGATTCTGGTTTTTTAACCCGTATAAAGAAGCACAAGATCGATGTTACAACCGATGCATTCACTCGAAAGAGGAGTGTAACCACAGCAAGGAAGCGTGCTCAGCATATTGCAAAGCGACATGCCGGCTGATACATACTGACGAACCGTAAACCAGATCAGTTACTTCCGATGACGTGAGCATTTTTCAAAATAAAGAAGGAACTTTTTCGCCGCTTTTCTCTTTAAATTTTGTTGTTCTCATCTCATCTCATCAGACAATTCTAATGTTTTGCTCTAGAAAAAAACCCTTTTTTTCCGTGCTAGTAAATTCCTAAAGGAAATTGTAAGTATCACGAAATTGTTGCTAAAAAAATTACAGGTAACATGATTTCTTGGTAGCTTGTTGGTAACTTACTAAGATAAGGTGGATGGATGCATGTGGAAATCTGGAAGAAGGCTTGTTGCACCAAAACACTATGGGAATAAAAGCATATTCCCAAAGGTTTATTATGCCTCAGTCTTGACATCATTTCCCCCTCCTTTTCTCTAAAGTCATTATCTTCATTTTGTTACACTGCATAGGAATCGACATATACCCCCTCCCAACAAAGTCTTCTCAGTCGGTGGAGAAAGGAGATCTCATTTACATTGATCATATTGAATTAAATTTTTCGAAGGATTTTCACTTTCTGTGTCGACGGCAACTGAAACTGAAGTCAATGTCGCCCTTTTAACTGATATTGTTTTACCTGATGCAGCCTGAAAGCCTGAAATCCACTGCCCCAGTTTGGAGATCATATATATGAAGTAGACCATCCTGAAGACAAATACTGTTAGAAAGAGTAGATGATTGACAAAAAACGGTCAATGCAAATGTAAAACCAGCACGATACCTGACCGCCTGTGCCAAGATGTCGACCTAGAGATTCAACATCAAAGTATATCCGCGGATTGAGGGACAAAAGAAGTCACTCTAATGATTCGAAAAACAATAAGGATAGCAACAGTGAATACTTGAGAGAAAAAACTTTTCCTTAGGAAAGGCATATTTATCAGGAAACATTCTACTTTCTCATCTAATGACCCGACATTTCAGTAAAAATATGCTACTCAGCTGGATAGATATGGGAGCTTTGCTATCACAAGATAACAATACTCACTTGTAGACAACATCAATAGCCTTCCGAACATCCCAGCACATGATAAAAGGGTCCTACATAGAAATTTAAGAAGAGAAATTATCAGAGACAGACACGCCCAAAGTAAATAACGCATAAATAATGTTTACCCACAATTCCTGGATGTTAAGGAGCGTTTGTTAACATTTTTACTTCTCTATTTTTCTATTTTTTTATTCTTCTGAACAAAAAAAGAACAGAAATCCATTTGGTAATGTTAGTTGATTTTTCTATTTCTTGGAATAAAAAAGTGACAAGAAAATAGATTTGAAAAAAAATAAGAAGTAAAAAAATTTTACTTCTTTGTTTTCAGAAATAGAAATATAAACATAGAAACAGAAACAGAAACAGAAACAGAAAGGTAAAAAGGTGGAGAAATTGAGAACCGTCGTCTGCAGATCGTCTTCTTCCATTTCAAGCCGCGGCTTCAGCTCCTCCTCCATCCTCCGTCGTCTACAGACCGTCTCAAAGCGTCGGCCACCACCCCGTCACTTGCGGCGAAGCCCCGGCCAGTCGAAAGCCGCCAGTACGTCTTTCTGTTCTCATCTTTGTTTGATAGTGTGGCAATTCTATAGGGACGCCGTCGAGCGAGGGCGGCCCTCGCCGATCTGGGCGCGGACTGCCCTCGGTCGACGGCGGCGACGGCGGCCCTCGGGCCCAGATCCGCAAGGTACTCGTCGTGGTTCTACCTTCCACTTCACTGATTGGATGCTCTTCTTTCCCTTCCGAGCCTCTCGCGTGTGCTTGTTTAGATGGTGCTTGGTCTTTCGAGCTAGGGTTCTTGTTGGTGTGGATTGGGTTGGAGTCGGATTCTGCTGCTCGTGAGGGGTTTTTTGTGTTGTGAAGTTGGTTTGGCGAACCCTTTTAGATGGAATAGTCTTGTTGTTCTGATTGTGTGGGTTGTCTGGCTATTCGGTAATTCACGCACCATTTGACGCCTTTGAGGAAGTTGTTCGGCTTCTCGTCAGTTCTGAACTGTCTGTGGAAATGATGGGCTCTTTGAGGAGGGACATCGAACCGAATAGCAGGCCATGAGTATTCTTGATGATGAGCGGCCTCTGTGGGTTCCTTGAGCGGGCTCGGTTGATGCTGCTGCCCCTTCTTCTTCTTCTGCAACCATCCTTGCGTGAGAGAAAGAGTGCGTGTGTTGAAGCGCTGCGAGCACGAGCGGTGAGACTTTGCTTGAGTCCTGGCCGGCGAGTTTTGGCTCCCGTCGACGCTTCCCCTCTTTTTGAGTTCGGCAAAGGGAAAAGAGACAACCCCTCTTACCCTTCGATTTGCGAAATGAAAATAAAACGGGAATAAACAATAATTTCATGAATAAAAATTAAACTCGGCATAAATAATGAAAAATATATTTTATCTGATAACAATTTTAATTGTATAATCATTAAATCCCGATATCATATAATATTACATCGATTTCCATTCATGTTATGTTAAAGATTACAAATCATAAACAAGTTAACAACTATGGAACAAGAATTCGTAGTTACAGGTCGTAATTTTTTTTCGAATTATAAATTTGAGGTGTAATTTACAATTTACCCTCGTCTAATTATAATGCTTAATAGTAGTTATTACAACAAGGGCACTTTTGCCCGACGCCGGCGAGGACACCCTTCGCTTGAGGCCAGCGACCTCCGCCGGCACCAGCTATGGCCATCAAAGGGAAGAGAGAAAAAAGAAAAGAAAAAGAAAAGGAAAAGGAAAAGGAAAAAACATAAAAAGCAAAAACGAAACAAAAAAAATTTAAAAAGTAAAAGACGAAAACTGCCCTTGTTCTGATCGCCAGAACAGTCACATGCTTGCCGGCCAATGACCATTTGATCGGCCGGCGAACCCAGGCCCTTATTTGAGACTGATTGGGCACTTTAAGCCCTTATTTGAAACTGATTAGGCACTTCATGCCCTTATTTGATACTATGTCCACTTTGGATCCTTTTTTGAAAAAATGACCCCACTTTGAGTACTAATTTGAAAAATTTTCTTAGAATTATATTATAGTTTATGGTGATTATAAGTTAGTAAAAAATTGCTATGACCCCTTTTAAATATAATCTAATAGATATATCGGTATATCGTGATTACACAACCGGTAATTCTTTTGTGAATAATTATATATTGGTGTAAACATAACAAATCATAGACCATTAACAGTTTTTAAAATTAATTATAACTATCAATTATGATAAAATCGCTTTAATTAATTATTATAATTAATATCTTGATTTATTAGGTTTGAAAATTGAGTCATCTTATAATTTAAGCTTCATTTAATTCAATAGTTTAATATTTGAGAACTTAATTCTAGTATGGTCGATTATATACTGAGCATCGCACTTCATTTCATATAAATCACATGTCGGTGAAGCATAGAAAAATCTCTCTATATTTTTACTTATGATTTTGCTTTAAAATTTGAAGCCAAAAAAATATGAAAAAAATAATATATGATTCGAAATTACATTATTTAAATATTTCTAAATATTTAGAGTGTTTCATACTAAACAATAAATTAAATTATAAGTGCCGCAAAAGTTACTAAACATCAAAAAGTGAAAGTAGAAAAATATAAAAAGTTGAAGCAGTTGAAACATGTGATGAAAAGACAAAATACTTACAAACATGCAACATTTCGGGTATTTAAATCCTAAAATTTGCTATAATACTTGCATTTCGTGCATTTAAATCTTCAAAGGGATAAGTACATTGAAAGTCCTAAAACTTGTCATCAAAGTGCAATTGAGTCCTAAAACTTTCAAAAAGTGCAATTAAATTTTTAAACTTGTCATCACAGTGCAATTAAATCCTAAAACTTTCAAAAAGGGCAATCAAGTCCTAAAACTTGTCAAGTTAGTCCAATTAAGTTCTTTTTTTAATTGCAACTTTTAAAAATTTTAAGACTCAATTGCACCTTTGCAACAAGTTTTAAGACTCAATTACATTTTTTGAAAATTTTATGACTTAATTGCATTTTTTGAAAATTTTAGAACTCAATTGCACTTTCGTGACAAGTTTTAAAAATGCGCTTAGCCCATCTTCAAACATGCAACTTCAATGTACTTGAATCTTTTCGTTAGCTCCGTCAATTGTAGGTGGACACGGAGAGTAACACGTGACTCTTCATTTATTTATTTTATATGTCTTGACTGTTAGTAAAGAAAAAATGCCACGCCAAGGTTTTCCAAAAGTCGAACCACATCGAACGAGGGAATACGGTTTAGTTCCGATTGCAGACTTTTTTGTCGGAAAAAAATCCCCTTGAACCAAAACACTTATATGATCCTCTTTCCTCGATAGGATCATGTTTACAACTAGAATAAAAATTGAAACAAGAGTAAATTAGATAAGTGTTAAAAACTTAATACAGTCGCTTCACGTAACTTTACCGTGAAAAGAGTGTTAATACAAATGAGCGTAGCCATGAGATCAACGAGAAACCCGGACTTTCACATGCTTATACCAAGACACCAATCGAAGATAACCTCAGCATTTTCGGACGCTTTTCGAAATCTGCACCAAGTAGTTTGCGCGGAACAAAGTGTGTGGGCAATTTAACCTCGATAACCAACTTCTCCAGCACAAGTGCATCCCCGAGAAGAAACTTAATCAGGGCGAGCAGATGGTTTGACCCAAATCTATCAGCTCCAATGCCGCTGATCTCAACTCTCTTGAGATGTTCTGCCAAACATCCCAAATTCCCCTTCCGTAAGCACAATAATTCTTCTTTGTCAAAGTTAACGCGATCCTCAGATTCTTCATCAAGCTCAAGCTGAACCTGCACATAGATACCCCATTTAAGAAAACTTATTTCACATTAGATGTGGATCCACCGAAAAAAAAATAATCATTGGCTCACTAAAATTTCAAACAAACAACTTTCATTTGTTCACTGCAGATGCTAGTTAGTTTTACTTTATAACGAGTCTTAATCAATTTAAGCTCTCAAACTTGTCTACACATTAAAAACATGTTCTCTTACTGAGTTCTCATCACTAAACTCTTAGTTCAAGATCCTAATGCTACATGGCAGCAAAAGAACCTCCAATACAACACTGCAGTAACTTTAAGACATGAACTAAAACAGCTTAATATTGCCCTGCACAAATGTTAAGTAGACTGACAGAGCCATGACCAAATTTCAACTGCTGGAACAGATAGAGTTTGAGATTGATCATCTTTATGTGCAAGAAGCAAACTGAAAATATCATAGCAAAGGAACAAACCTTCGATCGGGGGAGGTTAGTCAGGTGTATGACTAATTTTTCCAGGCCCTGTGAACTTCGCAGCATGTATGCTATCCCGGGAAGGTTCAGTTGACTAACCGGTGCCTCTAGTATCAGATTCTGACATTTTGACACTGGCACTCCTTCCATCTCCAACTGGGACATCATCTAAGCACATTGAGCAAGCAACATAAAAAATTTAATTAATACTAGTTTTCCTGTTTAACATGAATAAAGAATAACAAAATTACAATCCCTCAAATATGATGTCCTTTGACCCTGTCTCCCAGCCAAGGAAAAGACCGATAAGGATACTACAAGTAGAAATGAACAAGTGAATCCCTTGAAGAATAGAGACTATTTACATATGCTTCTCGTGTTGAACTTGTGATACTTGAAGGATCTGAAAATTGTAGTAGCTGGTCACATAAGACAGCAAACCTCGTTGTTGACAGAAGTTTCCAAGTAAATTCATCCATTGCCATTATACATATATTGTGAGAATACTTTGTAAGATGATTATCAAACGACAGCCTCATGTGATGAGAGAGCAGGACCGGTTCTGTCAACCTAAGATGACTAGGTCCATTACTCTCAGTCATATTTCCGGATAATTGTATTTTCTATATAAACTGAAAGAATCAAATTTCAAGAAACCTTTCCGACTAATTTCTTCACACAGTTTTCTTTTCAATATGAAGGCATCTAAGAATGCTGCGGCGAGTAGCATCCACAATAATTAAACAGAGGGAAGAAGCTCCAAGGTTCACAATCTTATGCTGTAACTCGGAACACAAAGTTATGAATCATCCCATTTGCCAATAACTAATTACACAAGAGTTCACAATGATTCCCCATGATGGAAGATAGAATGCCACAGAGAGCTGAGGTCACTCAACCGGGGCAACATACAGCACTAAATGGTGCTAATCACGGACACAATTCAACGCAAGTACGTCTTATAAATGTTAAAAGTATCGAGCTTGTACCTGAAAACACCAACCACCAATGGTGATTGTAGGAACTCCGCGCAGCTTCTCGAGAAGTTCCTTCAACAAGTCGCAGCACATCGTCCTTTTATCAGGCCAAACAGTCACAATGGCAAAATCTAACTTGGCTTCCACCAAAGAAGACGAGGTCGTTGATGGAGGTCCAAGTGGACCGCCACCGCCTGGAGAGGACGCTGGTCCTGACGACGTCTACGATCGACAGGAACAAGAAGATGTGGTGGATCACGGCGTCCGGCAAGGCGCTGATGAGATCGCCGGAGCTCGAAGGAGGAGGAGGAGGAGGAGGTGGGTTTCCTTCGGTGCGATTCGGACGGTCGCCGGAGGACCCGCGGTGGATGTCACCGTGGACGGCGGTCTCCGCCATGGAAGTGAAGATCTAGGGTTTCTGCCGATTTTCCCGATGCCCGAGTTTTCCGTGGATTTTTACTTTCTCTTCATCTTTTTTACAAAGCTGGACTATCTATAGAAGAAGAATAATGAAAAGTCATCTGGGCCCTTTTAGCTGATATATTTTTATTTTTTTAATTTATTGTCTTCTTTTTCTTTCTCGATTTCTAGCATCATCCATAATTTAAAAATAATCCAATAAATTATTAAAGCGAAATTCCTTCATGATGCCGATACTTAATTAAAGAGAAAATAAAGGAACACGAGTGAAAATTTTCTTTGTTAGAAACTTTTTAGCGTTCGAGTTCATCGTGCAAATATGATCTAATTGCGAAAAGAGAATTTGGGAGGACCAAAAATTAAATTTAAACTTAGAGAAAAATAGGTATTAAGTAATCGGCATTGTTTACGCGATGGCAGTAACTCAGTCAATTTTTTCCTTTTCTCCTTGTAAAATGCGCGTTCTCTAAGCACTAGGATAAAATATCTATGATTTCTTACGTTTCCGATTCTCATTCCTCTGTCAAGTCCACCGCATCTAACGCCAAACCTGCCACTCGATTATGTGTTTACGTGGCATCAAGGTAAGCGTGCTCAATTGAAGCTTTAATCAGTTCCGTGTCATGAGTAGGGAAACATCTTTAGACACGTATGACAATCATATTGTCACGAATTGAACCTTTCAAAGCTTTTATCACGTTCGCAGACAAGTTTAATTGAACATGTTAATATTTACTTGGGTGGACACCACATGTTCAGATACATTTATGACACGTTAATAGATGACGGCGAATCACATCTTAACGTATGTAGGTAAGGATTAATGTCTTAAAAATGTATTAAGCATGTCACGATGCGTGTGAGGCGTTTAATAAACTTGTTGAGTTTGGGCTTTAAAGATATGCCACTAATGATAAATACTTAGGTCAGAATATGATACAGCGCAATTATATCGAGACGCACGATGTCGGTCGCCCATGGATCATTCGAAATTTGGGCCTTGTCTGATCCGACACGAGAATCAACATCATCAACACCTCAACCTCACCGCGGCATACAAACCCCAGAACAGGCAAAAATTGGTTCTTCCAAGGGAACGACGTGCCTTCAAGAGAGAGATCGTGGACGACGAGAGAGGGGGCCCCCTCGCCAAATGAACAGGGAGCTCCGCGGTCAGGCCGCCATCGCCGGCATCCAGGGGGAAAAACCCAGCAGAAAAAAGGAGAGGGGGGGGAGCTTTCTCGGCCAGATCTGTCCACGGATCTTGGGTCGACTGCCCCTCGGAGGCGGCGGCGATCGCCGGATTATGTGTCCGAACGCCCACGTCGCCGCCGTTTTCAGCTCAACCTTCAAAGATGGCCTCAAAAGAAGGCACAATGCTCGTTCGGCAGGTTTAAAATCAAACTAAAAACGAATTACAGCGGATGAGAGGGAGAGAGCAGCTTCGCTGGAGAGAGAGCGGCGATCGAGAGTGGGGCAAATGCGCTCGCGTGGAGCAAGCGAGGATTGGGCAAGGGAACAATTTGCTCCAGCAGCGGGAGAGGAAGAAGAAAGCGGGAAGAACCCTAATCGCGATTCAATCCGGGGGATTTTCACCCGATTGTAATTTTGGACAAAATTACCCTCATTTGACGAGATCACGTGTCGCTTGACGATTCGCATTCTGCCTCTCTCTCCCCGACGACATTTTCTTCTCGTGCCATCAGCCCTCCGACCCCGACTCCCACTCCCACCAAGCCTCCGTCGTTCACCAGCGGCGCGTTCGGCGACGATCGTCCGGAGATGATCCTCAGGTTCCGGCATATAGCCCGATCCGGCCCGGCCGCACCCGCCCATCAATCATTTTTCTCTTCCTCGTTGTCTCTCCCTCCCGCCTGCTCGTTCCTCATTTCTGCAAATCTCTCTCTCTGCAAATTCTCTCAATGACTCCACTGGACTTCCTTCCTTTACTCTTTCTCGCTCTTTTCTCTTCCATCCTCCTTCGTCTCACCTCTTCGACCGCCCTCCGTTCCCCTAAGTAGCATGGAGCTTTCTCCTATCCTTCACTAGCTCTCTCTCTCTCCCTCTCTCTCTAAGTTCGCATTTGCCACCGACGCTTCTGTACACTCCCTCGCGGTTCGCTCCAGCGGCTGATTGGCTCCTGCAGTTTCGGCTGCTCCCGGAGCTTTTTGAGGTAATGGAGACCGACGAAGGGTCGCGGCGTGCGCTTCCGTTTCAGCTCCAGTTCGACAAACCGCTGGCTTCTCAGGTTCGGCTCTGCTCCCGTTCGGGCGTTCTTTTCGCGACCTCCTAATGGGGCGTGGCCGATTCGATCGTTTTCCGACTCGGTTATGTGAGGTTTTTGCTGGGTTTTGCGATTGGCAGGTGAAGATGGCGGAGTGGAATCCGGAGAAGGATTTGCTGGCCATGGTCACGGAGGACTCGAAGGTCGTGCTTCATCGCTTCAATTGGCAGAGGCTGTGGACCATCTCTCCTGGTAATTGCTTCGATTCGAGAGAAAGTTCTGTCTTTTCTGTTCAGTTTGCTCGTGTCTTCGACGATGGCTTGCTGTGCCCTCTGAGTCATTGGCCTTATCTCGTCTTACTTCTTTCGCTTTTCCTAAATGTGCTGCGCTTCCTTCTAGTTCAAATTGCATTCGATGGAGAATTGGACGAACATAGAGGTAAAGTGCTTGAATTTCTAAATGAGAAGATCACGTTGAACTTAAGGAATTGGTGTTTTACACAAAAATGAAGAGCGGATGATGGTGATACGAGTGGAAATTTAGAGATGACTTAGTTGCAAGTAAAGAATTCCAAGCTGATATCAGTTAAATGGAGGGACTTTTATTTATTCCTGTCAACTTCTAGACCAAGTGGAAGTGTACCATGCTCCTGTTTTGCCATCTTGTTTCCCTTTCGATACACCAGTTAAAGTGTCCATGAAAATAACGAACTTGAATTGGAGGGGACATCATTTAAGCTAGAGATGCAGAAATGCTAGATGCCGACATGGAGTTGGCAGGTTTAGCCCCTGCAGAATACCATCCCAATGCCATCAGGCATCTATATAGTTTTCCTTAGATTTCTGATGTTGGCTCTCACAAAGTAATATTACTTCTTGCTCCGCTTCTTTTACTGATTGAGCATTCCCTACAAGGATAGATTTAATGGATACTAGAATGTAGAGTATAGGCTGGAAAGTTTCTCACATTTTGTATTGCTTGAAATTAACTTATCTTCTTCTTATTACAGAGGGGCATTTTGTCGCATCATTTTGATTAATTAAGTTCGCTGGTGGGATTTTAACTTACTTGTTAATAGGATATCTCAAGCTATGCTGCATACTTGTTCGACAATCTGGTCGAAAGGGATGGAGGGAGGAATTGGAGAAAGCGAAGAGACTAGGAGTGTAGGGTGAGCTGCATTCAAGTATGTTAAGTTCTCATATGACTTTAAATCTTGGTAATTCAAAATCGTAAGAGCTTCGGATTAGATGCCTAGCCTTGGCAGTTCTTGCTATCTCTTCTCACAGGAAAAATTTAGAGAGGAGGCGTTTTTTCTCCAGAAACATCTGAATGCTTTGTGCATCATATTGTCTTCTAAATTTGGAGAACATGTTGTTGAGTGCACTATAGTACTTGAGCCAATATTTGAATGGTTTCTGTTGAGATCCTAAGTTGTAGATACTAGAACACTTGCGACCTTGCCTGAAGTATGCTTTTGTGGATCCACTCCACCTTGAGGTTCCAAAGCTGAACTACAAGATTCTTTTTTGGATGGAGATAATGGATTGGAGGTCGCCAAAAAGATATAGATTCCCTCGCTTTAGATGACCTACTAGTCCAAAGAAATCCCATATTAAGTGACCGATATCCCTCAGTTATCTTGTACTGTTATGACGCTTTGCCTCACTTCACAAATTTTGATTAACATTTTCTCAGTTACTGTGTGTTCTCTATCTTCCCTCTTCATCTATTAATTTTTTTGTGAACAAATTATTCTTTCTCTCTCTCTCTCTCTCTTTTGATTGTTTCTTTTGAGCTCACTTTTCTTTGCACATTCATTGTGTGTCATCAATACTGGCTTCTCTTTATTGTTCTAATGTTACTCCAGGTAAATGTATAACATCATTATGTTGGCGTCCTGATGGCAAGGTTGTTGTGTTGGGACTTGAAGATGGTACAGTTTCACTGCATGATGTTGAAGTAAGTTTTCTATGTTATTACTTTAACGTTACGCTCATTACTTCTCAACAAGAAATTCCTCCTGCAAGAATCCTTTATCATCAGAATGTGTTCTTCTCTGATCTCTCACGGGAAACTGAATTGCTCAAAAGTGGCATTATGCAATGCAATCAGCAAGCTTGCTCAACGAACATTTAGCTGCTATTATAGATGGCAATCCATGTTTGCTGGTCATGTCTGCCAATGTCAAGTTAATAGTGGACTGGTAGATAGGTCAATCCGAGCAGTATAAGTGTTGAACAAGTCGAACCATGTCCACATCAGCTTCCAGCCCAAATCAAATTGCCATATCACCCAAGCAGTTTGCATCTTCCTATTCTCCTGCACAAGACTTGGTTCAGCGAGAAACTTCCAGCTTCTCTCCACACGGACAACCAAGCAACCAACATCTATAACTCATTCAAACTCATTCAAACTCAAACTGATTTTTGTTATGCAGATTCTTTGC